GGAAAGTGGGTGCAGGTCCTCTGGAAAGGGTTTGATGGAGGCACTCTGGAAAGTTGGTGCAAGAAGTACTCTGCAAAGGGGGTGTGGGAGCTACATGTAATCTGGAAATGAAATACAGGAGGAACTCTGGAAAGTGGGTGTACAGGGGGGGGCACTCTGGAAAGGGGTTGTAGGAGGCATTCTGGCATGTCTGGAAAGGGGGTGCGGGAGGTAACTTGGGAAGGGGGTGCAGCAGGTACATGTACTCTGGAAAGGGGTTACTGGAGGCACTCTGGAAAGTGGGTGCGGGCGGCACCCTGGAAAGGGGGTGCAAGAGGTACATGTACCCTCAAAGGAGCTTGCAGGAGGCACTTTGGGAAAGGTGATGAAAGAGGCATTCTGGACAGGTGATAAAGAAGGTGTTCTAGAAAGGGAATGCAGACTACACTAAAAAAAATTGGATGCTCTGGAAATGGGGGGCAAGGTTTTGCTGTGGAAAGAGGACGAATGAGGCACACTTTAAGTATATGCAGGAGGTACTCCACAAAGGGGATGCTAGCAGGTTCTCTGGAAATAGGATACAATACAAGAGGTACCCTCAAAATGGGAGGCATCATTCCACTGCAAAGAGAAATTTTATATCACAACAAAAATTGAAGAGTGGCTCTAGAAAATGCTCTAGTACTTGAGGATGTGTGAAATCAATACAAGCATCGGATCACTGAAATGCACGGCTGCCATCTTGCAGGACAGTGTTTTAGTTCTGCAGGGTATGCACAGAGGAAGTTTCACTGTAGAACTAAACAACTTCCCCTCAAGATGGCGACCATGCAAAGCCTCCACAATATGGCTTCTAGTTAAGGCAGCCGAGTTACTCTATACTTACGTGTATGCTTTCAATGAGGCCAATCAAAGCTACATGTATACAGGTACTTATATATCTGTTAAGATTGCGTCAGACATACAAGTACTGTACATGTAAAACTGTTAGTGCCAATGATAGTATGCCAGGATGGATGTTGTTAAAGATGGTGGACACAGAAAGAGTGCATGTACTGCTCATAATGTGGTTAAAGTCACTCAAGACACGAGAAGTACTGCCAAAGAAGCAAAAGTGTTTGTTCATGCCTTGTGGCAGGTTTGCCCGGCCGAGTCACTGAATGCCGTTTTCGGTGCTCTGTGTGGGTCTCTGAGTGGGGTCCATGCCAAGCTTCCTCATTTGGACGGCAACATCAAAGAGATAGTCATAGCATTCGCACCTACATACCGGGACCGGAAAGAAAAATAAATAAAACATGCATGATGGTTAGAGGCACAACAGAAACATAGCACATACAGGCACGGGAAGCTGTTAACTGTAGTCATTATGCAAACCACCTGTGTCTCTTCTGCCATGTAAGAGGTCTTTAATTTTATTATCTCAGTTTGCTTTTTAATGGCCAAATGAAGAGCAATGTAACACAAAGTCATCATTTTGATCTTTGTGATGAATACAGCATTCTGGATTTGTTTCCACCCGAGTTTGAAATTGTGTCAATCCACAATGTACAGAGTCTGCGTACATGTATGAACAAATCCAAACTTAACTTTCAGGGGAGTTTGGGGTCGGGGAAATGTAAATTCCATTATGACGGGTTTTACTCTTCCAAAGTTACTGGTACACTGTACATCACAGAGAAGCATAACACAACATGCTGACATCCATTTTACTGTCTTTTTTTTTTTAAAGACTTGGGGATTGGGGCAGTCAGTAAATTAATTGAAAGTGTATACATTAGATTTTTCAAGACTGTTAATCGAGCCATCAACATGTGGAAATTTGCCAGCAGGAAGCAAAAGTTTGTTCAGATGCAAGCAACATACAGTACTGTACATGTACCGGTGGCAGGTCTGTACAACACACAGGAGCAGACATAGATATAAGCAAGCAGTCCAATAACTGCGATGGTGAAACAACATACTCTAGACCTTATTCACTGGGCCAGCAATATTGAATTCAAACGCAAGGTTAACTCTTTATTTTGGAATACTAGAGTACAAATAAACGCAATAAAATGAAATTTCATGCAAATTTGCACCTGTCTTCTCTGATGGATAATTTCAAATTCATGATCGAGTACACAGAATTGTACCATGCAAGATTCTGAAAACTTTTTAGAGGCAGGCTTGGAACACACGAAATTATAAAACAGTCTGGTGCCATCCTAACAAACACTTTGTAATATGTAAAACAGATTTGAGGAATAAATGTAAGATCAAAAATGGCCTCAACGTGAAAAGGGTCTATTGGCAGACAGTATGCATGCAAAATTGTGGTGGGTACCAACTGACCAATGAAATGGAAGAGTGTTCCTTAATGTGAAACAAGTACAAACTTCCATTAATTCTTTGGCTGTACCAAGTTTTATAATGTTTTATGACCCAACTTTTAAGCAAACATTTCCATTTTTTTGATTGCACAAAAGCAGCACGAGTACATGTAAGTGCAGGTAAAAAAAGAGCCAAATCTTAAAACTAATCGCTTCATTTTTCAAGGATTAGTACATATGGATGTGCTTTAATTTTTTTTATTTCTGTTAACTGATCTTGCGATGCACAATGAAATAATTACAAATGCACTGATAACTGTGCAGCTGTTTGAGATGTACAGGAATTACATTTTCACAATACTATTTCACTGTTACAAGCCTTACTGCCAATACCGCATGGGTTATTTTGAAAGGCATTGGGGGAAGGATAAGGGGGCAATGTTTGCTCCTTGTTCGTTCCCATAATGCCTTTCTACCATTGTGCAAAATCACTTTTGTGGTATCAGCAGGAAGGCTTATTGGTATCATCATTTTTGCTTTTCAATGGTCTGCACTCCAAGTTACAGCAAGGGAAGCTGTACAAGAACTACATGTACAGGGTAGTCTTTAACTAAGAAGGTCTTTCTCACCATTAGCAAACAATGCCATACAAGAAAAACAAAAATTATAATGGGGCTCTGTCTGAATCAACTGGCCCGGGCTAGGACTGAAACACTGGTGTCTATGGAAAGTGGCTGCAGCCACTGGTTAAAGGGTACCACATTGCCATAGACAGAGGTGGAAATGTCTAGCCATAGCCAAACCATCTGACACAACCCAGGACTACATGGATAGCTTTATGTTTGACAATTGATGGCTTGTTATGTGTCCCACGAGACCAATTCTTTAGGACATTAAGAAGTATTCCCCACTTCCTAGCACATCATACACATCATACACTTTCCTGTATCACCGTCAACAATAACACTAGGCCATACAGATACACATCAGTTCTGGACATGGCGGTAAGTGCTGAACCGCCTACCCATCAGATTGATGACATAAATTAATAATGGCGCTGTTTAAATGAGAGACCCTGCATGAGTCTCTCCAGGGGATGGCTGGACAGACAAACTGTTGTGGATCAGCCTACACACATTAAACCAGCAGGAGAGAGAATTTGTCAAAACAGGATTATGCCTCAAAAGTGCAGGAGGACTTTAAAGGGTCGATGGAAAGTGTGTTTCAGGTGGAAACATGGCTGCATTGAACTGAGTTCAATGGCATCTCTTCTTTACTGATTCCTTGATTTATAAAAATACTACGACACGGCGCCTGGCTGAAATTAATGAAGGACATAAATCCTCTCATTAAATATTTAAGCAATTTGCAACTGATGCTGTATACTACATCTGTACATACATGTAATGTACTTGTAAAGTCATAGATTTAATGGAGACAGACAAATTGGAATGAAGAAAATAAAGAAGAAACCAAATTCCAAGAAATTGAGATTCTCAAAATTTATTCTTTATGACAGTATTTAATCATGACAGTGTTCTTTATTATCGAGAGTCAACTGTTCATAACATGTACACGGTATTACTCTTCACAGTCTTATGAGGTCCTGTCATTTTGTAGACAGTGATTTTTCAGGAAAACAACTGGCCCGGGGTTTTTTTTTTCCGATTTGATCCAGCAACAAACCCTCGGGGCCAATTCCCAAGTGAACAAATATTGTACACCTGGTTATCAGACTGTCAAAGGCTGTTGCCAAAGGGAAACAAAGGTCGCAAAGGAGGGTATCCTGTCGATTCCACTCACACAGTGAATCGCATGGTTGTCTTTAATACGCTTATTTTGTATTTTTTTGGCATGGTTCTGAAATCACACATGTACATGTACGTGTAACCCTCTAAACTCTAAGAACAACCGTAGCTAGAGAAGTTCCTCACACACAGTGATGAGTTTTTAAGGGTGGGAAGGAAATCAGGTACCCTGATGAAATGAACACGGTTTTACCCAAGTACATACTTGCTATCCCAAAAATCCCGGGAAAGCACACTTGGAAATGCATTTGAGTTGCAAATTACCTAAACATTTACCAACAACCTACATGTACATGTATATGTACATCTACATGCAAGCACATGACTGTGAAATCTGTTTAAACTCTCAACGTATCCTGGCTTTAGTTTTCGATATCCCTACCCAACCAAAACTTCCAAACCCCGTTTTCCCTTGAAAAAGATCCTGAGTAATTTGTCTAGGTGGTTTACACCGGCATGGGTAGGTTCCTGACACTGAACATTGCTTGGGTAATCGGTTAGCCCATGCAGTTCCAACTGTACAGCCCCTATACAGTACAGGGGTACATGCACAAGCCCTGCAAGTCCCCTGCTCATGACACACAATTCGTGACATTTCCACCAAATCATCAGTGACACCACTTGATCCTTCAGCTCTAGTAGGGTCTGATGGCAGCTCCGGGACTCCCCTTTGTCACCTTCAAAACCTGAAGACTGATCTCATTGAGCCCTTTGGGGATCAATTACACCACCTGAATCCGGTCTTGTTCCAGTGTGGGGTAGAAGAGTGGGACGGTGCAGTCCCCCTAAGGAGCCACCCACAGCCTCAGCTTCCAGCTATCTGGTGAGGGAGTGCTGGTGTTGTGCCCCACGATGGCCACTAGGGGCTTCATTACGATTACGACAGCTGACCTTATGTTACATGTGCATCACTTAGTGCAGGCGTCAGTGTCCAACTGCAAAATAACCACTACAACTAAATTGCTTTAAATGGGCTGGGTGTTTAAATAGTTCATATTTTAAACCTTCCTTTCAAAGTGCTGAAGGACATGTACACTGTAACAAGGTTGAATAATTTGTTCCAGAATCTGTACCTAGTACCAAGTCCCAGTCGTCCCATCAGAGGCAGGATCTTAGATTATGTACCATTCTACCCATGTCCGGGTTTGAGACCAAACTAGCGGTACATGTGCCATGGGACGGAACTGGACTTGTGGAAAGAAATGCCAGGAGTGCTGTCCCTGCAGAGCATAAAGGATAAAATTGAACACAAGAGCTACAGGCGTACAGGAAACTGTGTATTCCAGACATCTGTGACTGCTGACAGACCTCGTGTTTTTAATAAACCAAACTCTATGCATTGATGAACAGTGTTACACGTGTAGTTGAGTCCCTTCAGTCCAGTCACAAGTCCCTTCACAGGGCCCTTCACAAAACCCTTCACAAGTCCAGTCCCAAGGCCCTTCTCGAGTCCAGTCACAAGACCCTTCACAAGACCCTTTACAATTCCAGTTACGAGTCCCTGAACAAGGCCTTTCACAAGTCCAGTCACAAGACCTTTCTCAAAACCCTTCACAAGTCCAGTCCCAAGGCCCTTCACAAGTCCAGTCACAAGACCCTTCACAAGTGCAGTCGCAAGTCCCTTCACAAGACCATTTGCAATTCCAGTTACAGGTCCCTTCACAAGACCCTTCACACGTACATGTACAGTCACAAAGCCTTTCCCAAGACCAGTCACAAGTCTCTTCACAAGTTCTTTCACAACCCCCTTCACATGAGCAGCCACGAGTCCCCTCGCAAGAGCAGCCATACATGTACATGTAAGTAATGAGGTGAACAGTGACAAAAGAATGCTTCTGTCAAAGTTCATTTGAATACATTTAGCTTGTGAATTGGCTTAAGACTGGATGCCTTGTGATAGATTCTGCAGGGACCTTTAGAAGCGATGGACTCAACTCTGTTGAAACCAAGCCCATAACATATGTTGCATGTCCACACCTGTAGATGTGTATACATGCAAATGCACATGAACAAGTACACTGTACATGTTCATGTTGTGTACATATATGCAGAGCATTGGACATGTTGGAAAGTTGACAGAATTCAATCTACCCCCTACATACAGTATATGTACATGAAAGGACAGAATTCATTCATCAATTTTAATTTTCTCATCTCAAGCCATTAATTCTCCCCCCCCATCAGCACAGCTGTACTGAAGCACATGTAGTCGAGTCCGATAAAAATGCTTTTAAAAGTCCACCCACAAATTCTTTTGTAAGATCACAACGTCAGAAGCAACAAGACGAACAAAATTGTACACATTACGCTGTTCTTCAACTTGATAAAACCTGTGGTGGATTTGCTGCGACTACGAGTAGTGATGGACTTGGTAATAACACTGGATACCAGTAAACAATTCGAAGCTCTCTGTTTGGTAGCGGGTGAAGGATGATAAACAAACCCTGACAAAGAGACTTCAGACTACAGAAAGTGGAGTATATCGTCTCCTCAGCCATGCTTGTATTTTTGTACATGAACTGGTATATCACTTACCAATATGAGACTAAATCCCACCAAATGAGTCTTGAGGCCATTTTCCTCAATCCGCTTTTCACATTTAACTGTGACGGGAATATTCTTTCTTTTGATTTCTCACTGTTTATACTGTGCATGGATGAAAACAATCGTTCCTATTTATCCCCAAATAGGCAAGACTTGTAAGACTTGAAGGTTTTTATGGTGAAAGAACCATATGAGTAAATCGATTGCGGTTACACCATACCACGGATCAATCTCTTTCTTGAGTATGTCACCACACATACTCGAGAAAGAGATTGATCCTTGGTGTAACCGCAATCGATTTACTCATACATGTATGTGCAAGACTCATGTAAAATCTTGAACTCAAAAATGCCACTGGGAACTTGCAACTTACTTTTCAGATGAGTTGCAGTTACCAGGTGAGTATTGCCCAAATTAATACGCCCGACTCTACCATGAAGTACATGGATATCCGTGGGGGGCAGATACATGTACTTGTGTTTAGCTATTAATTTGTGCCTGAAATTGCAGCACCAGGCTAGTAAGCTCCCTCCCCAGGGAGCTGAGACGGTCCCAGGAGTGTTCCAACATTGTGAGCCCAGGAAGCAGGGACAGAAATAAAAATAAAACAACTTACAGATCAGCACTTTCAAATCTATACAAATGTACATACATGTATGTACTGTTAAATAGGCCTACTGTGAACCTTAAAAATGCTGCGATGGTAGCATTTCTATTGTCAAAACTACATGCAGTAAACTCACATGGCCTTGGCTCTCTGCCATGTTTTTCCCCACACGTATATGCCATGCCGCCTAACCAACACCGCACAGGTATCTGGGTACTCCTCCATTGCCCTGGTCATGCGATCCTGCACAGAAAGCAAAAGAACCACATGTATCTACTGGGTGCACGTACGTGTACTGTGCATGTACGAGGATGGTTCAGAATCAGATATTTTGGCAAAATTATTCACGTGCATGGCAATGCAAAATTTACGTCATGGGCCACGAGCATGGAGCGGGGGAAGTTTCCTCCTCCCCCCCCCCCACTGAAAGAAATGAAAAAAATATAAAAAATAAAGAAACCAACAAAGAAGAGGAGAGGATCAAATCACCATTTTGCTGTTACAAAGAAGAGGTATAGAGGTTTCTCGGTCACATGATATTCAATTGTCAATGTTCAATATACACAGATACAAATCCATAGATTCTGTCTTGGATATACCAGCACGGATTCATACATAAACAAAGAGATGTATCTGGATCATTCCATGAGGTTGGGGCCAACTTGTGATGGTGTCCTTGTTACATCGGTAACTTTTACCACCTGTCATGACCTGTAGAGTACATGTAGGTCATTTACACACCTCTGTATTCAGCCTTGCAAGATGTATAACAATGTCAGTTTGGAATCCATCTTTGCAGGGAAATAACTGTTCATTTTTACGGAACCATGTAACAATTGACACCATCACAAAGTGTGCCTCAACCTCATGGAACGACCCATCTATAGATTTGTATACATGTACATGATTTATATACGTACATGTACACAGACATGAGAGATGTGTGCGGAAATGCGTGCACGTTCAAAGTCTCTCAGCACTCTGACATACCAGGTACATTAACCCTAACACTCCTCAATCCTTCACCTGTTGGAGGACTGAGGAGTGTTAGGGTTAAGTTGCCAACTGAGAGATGCAGATTTCAAAATGCACACACCACTGCAGACTTGGAATGCTTCTTGAACTGCCTTTGCCGGTCAAGTGATGCTATGTCAAAAACCTCTACATGTCTTAAAATTTGTACTGAGATACCTCACCACTCAAATTTGCAGCACGTGTAAATGTCGTTAGTCACAGATTTCACGTGCAAAAACAGATAGCTTTTATGCCAAGTACTGCAGGACATTGCAATTTGTGCATGTACAATGTACCGTAGGACCATGTCTGAACTGCATAAATGTAACAACTATGTACAAGCATCTGTACTGGTTGTCATGGTAGTTGTAGGCATGTACCCGGTACATGTACGTGTATGTACATTGTATATAATCCTATGTACAGTGCCTGCACTCTACTTCTCACTGAACATGACAGTACCAGTTGATCTTGAGACACATATGCAGGCGACATGTACTGATAGTCTAATTTTATGGCCATTTTAAGAGAGCTGTGCTGTGTGCACTGTTAATGAAGCATCCTGGCGCTACAGCATCAATACTTCTCCTCGTTTGAACCAAGTAAAAAGGTTTATAAGGAACCAAGTAAAAACATTTATAAGGGAGATTGTATTGAAAGTTACGCATGGAATACCAGTACATGTACACAGCAGTGAACAAGACTCTTGGGTCTTATTGGCGCTCGGCAACAGGTAGCGTCAAACTGGAGCCTGCTCACAATTCACAGCATATTTGAGAGTGCTAATGCCTCCATGTTATCAAGTCAATCCAGATGCCTGTACACACAGAACTGAGTCGTCAACGTGAGTTAACGGTATGAAATTTCCCCACAAAGCCGTGATTCATCTACTATAATGCTGTCATCACTTAAAAACTATTTTCATCTGAAACAAAACACAGAAATAATTTCAATATTTTGTTATTCAGACATTTCATAATACCGGGAGGTGCCTTAGGATTTGTCTTAAATAATGTGAGGCAAATGCATACACGTGTGGAGACTAAAAAGGCTTCGTGATACAATGTATAACTTGACTTGGAAATCTACTGACAACAAAACAATACTTTTTTTCATTGATCGTGTTCATACTCACTTTGAGGTCTTTTTCAAAAGGAGTGTTTTCAACAATTGGCACAACAAGTTCCTCGTCATACCTGCAGGGTAATAACAGAAGATTAACCGACGTAAAGAAATTACTCAGAGGTAATGTGGTTTTGTTTAAGTAAGGGGTACTTTCTTTTATCATGCTGCACATACGTGAACCGGTGCATGTACCAGTCCATGTGCATGTAAACACGGAACGAAATTTCACTTTTGAACGAAACTGCTTTTTCTAAGTTGGCACTCGGTAAGGTACATGTACTGGATTTGAACCCACATTTTACACAGAAGTCTGACAGGAACTAAACAAAGCATTGTGATCCTGCAGCTGGATTCGAACATCATTAACAAAAAAGAAACTCAGCCTTTACATATGAAGTTCAAACGCGTGCGAAGTGGAAGAATTACATTAAGCCTCCTCCTGTAAAAACTAAAAAATGAAACTAAAAGGAGGAACCAGACATCGTGCATGGGGTCCTGTCTGGATTCAAACCACCATTTTAGAGATTCAGATAATGAACGGGCGATTCCAAAGAACAACGTGATTTCACTTCACTTTTAAGGAAATTCATCAACTCATGGGTGGAACAGAATGTAAGATCAAACCACTTAACATCTGCTCGATCAAAACAGAATGTCAGATATAAAATATTCCCCTAGGCTGTTTGGCCTCCAATAACTACAGTTCTACCGGTAATTTTTATTTCTTTTCTTTTAGACAACAGACAGTATGACTCCAGAGGTACATGTACATGTAATACATGTGTAGCTGAGTGGGCACACCCGGAAATCACGACAACCCTTTCTGGGTAAAATATACACATGTAGCAAAGGATAACAAAAGGTTTTCCCCCCTTATAATTACACAATTTTCAACCTACACTCCATGTTCACTTCATGTTAGCGCAGTAAGGTTGGTCCAGTTGCCTGAGTCGGAAACTGTCCATCGTCACGACTTGGGGATAACATGTACATGTACGCAACTGCACCGCATACATGTACATGTACATACGTAGAAAGATTAATGTTCAGAACATGTACATGGTGTGCATGGATGCTTCTTACATACATGTACATGTTCACCTCTTTCTGGATAGCAGGTGATGGAGAGTGCTGATTAATGATGATGATGCGTGTAGTAAATCATAAACGTGATAGTAAAAAGGAGAGACGGATGAGGAATGAAGACAATGACATCAGTTTTATAACAACGGCAGTGGTGACTGATGATTAAGGCTGCATCCGAATCTCTTGTCTAGAGCTAGGTCTAGGTCTTCGTTCCATTGGAAATGCGTGGAGACGCGTAGACAATAGGCCTAGCCGTAGCTCTGGAAGCCCGTTTCAGACACGGCCTAAGATGAGGATACAGTGTACATGTATATTTGGACACTTTGTGGGCTGGGCTGTGTGGTGTTCCCTGACTTAATTCTTTCCATTAAATTGCCTTCAGATTTGCCCTAGGGTCCCCATGCCCTCCACGAGCTGTTTTACATGTAGGGACAGACTTTCTGGTCTTGAGCACAATTCACACAAGCAGCAATGTTTGTTGTTTGGGGTGTCATCATTTTTGTTGGTTGTGGTTTTTCCTTTTTTTTGGGGGGTGACCAAGAGCAGAATTTCTGATTGCACGAAAGCTCAGTATTACACCAGAAGTTGTCCATTTAATGTAACTCGACCTGGGCATTTTTTTTGTTGAAAACATTCTCCACATCTTGATAACGTTGATGGCCACTTCAACCATTCTCTTGAGCAACGTTTTTGACTTTTTAAATCAGCCATGACTTTGATTGCTTGCCCTCTCTCTCAAAAACAAACCAAGAAACAAAAGGAGTCCGTTTAATTGCCACGTTCTGAAAAAAAAAGGAGAGAAAAAAATGAGACGGGACTGTCTGCAGACAAGTTTAGTTTCACTAAACAGAACAAGTAAGAAGAGATGCCAACATCTGTTCTCGTCTTAATTCATACGCATTCACATAAGCTTTTTTTGCATCTCCTGATCCAACGTGTATTCATGCGCACGTACATGTGTGCACCCGCTGCTTTCAACGGAAAATACTAATTGAATTAATGGCTTCTCATTTGTCACTAATTTGTCCACAAACATCACCATCGAAACAGCAGTGAGTCACCCGCCTCCCTTCCTTATTCTGTAATTGTTGAGGCCTTCGCAGCAATGTTTGGCCAACCAATCACAGGTGATGTCATGTGTGAGACCGGTTGTTGACAAAGATCAATGTACACAGACCTCAGTCAAGGTCTCCTGTAATCAAAAGCTTTAAGCTGATATGATATGCACTTGGTGGTGTACGGACTTTTGGTTTCTTTTTTTTTTTCTTTTCAAGAGGCACTACTGTGCCAAAATGAAGCAATGCATACACAGCGCTCAAAAATTGGAAGCACCAACCTCTGGACATGCGGGTGTACCCAAAAGTAAAATGACATTTGATGTCACCTGATTTTTACTCTAAACCCCCCCCCAAAAAAACCTATTCAAACCTTTGTTTTATCAGTACTTAACTCCATGAGTTGCATGAGTGATTATGGGCACTCTGTTTCATAATTTTGAACTGCAGTTTCCTGACATCTTCAGTCGAGTATTCGGCGCTTGTTCACAGTAATGCGCATCCCAAACATGTACTCAAAGTATCAGTACTTTCGTCTACACTCATGCTTGTTAATTTCTGCCAGAGGAAATGTATTCAAAAATGTCTAAAAATAAGGTAGTTACTCCAGCCAGGAAATTTATGTCGCATGATTGTAAAATTTGAAAGGCAGAGAATAAACTGCCGCGTGTGGTAATTTCTTAAATTTGTGCACCATTCGCCATCAAATGTTGGGTCCACAGTAGACCAAATCCATTAAAGGTCTGTGCACCTCCGGTCACAAGTGTAAGCCAGCCACAAACCGTCTTCTTTACTGTTGGCATGGGAAACATGTTAAACGGGTTTTGAGTTTCATCAGCAGCGAACAATGAATTTTGTTTTGATCCGGCTGAGTGGGCTTACTGTCCACACAGGCATGTATATAATGATTACATGTACAGTGTATGGTACTCTTCAAAGCATAGCAGTAAAATGGGCCCATTTTGAGATGCAGCACTTGAGATGGTACTTCAGGAGCATCAACCTCAAAGAGTGGTCACACAACACGCACTGTTGGTTCAACAGACGATAAATTAACCAATGCGATCCACACTACAACATCTGTGATAGTGAAAAAGTGGGTTCCGTTGCGCAGTCGTAATGTTCCATTTGCAGATGTACAAAAAGGGGGTTTGTTGGTCCAAAACTGAAACACGGTTTATCAGCTGGAATACTTGCAGTGATCAGATTTGTTAAACCAAAGATTCAATATCAAAATATTTGACAATGCGACATATCCAAAGGTTCGTTTGGTCTCGGGAAGTGGCCATGATCTGAATGTACATGTGCCGGTACATTGTGTACATAAATCAGCCGAAGGTCTGAAAATCTGAAATAAAATCGAGTTCAAAGATTTAATATCCGAAGAGCACCCACAGTTTGAAGTTCACATTTGACCTTCACTCTCAATTTACAGGTAACATGCTTTGTCTTTTTAAACAATAGAGGGATCCCAATTCGACGTTTTTAGCGTCGATCTGCGCACTTCCGCGTTTGAAAATGAAGCTGTATGTGTCAGCTTCAATTCTTGATACGATCAGACGATTAAAAGTAAGGAGTCAAGACAAAAAATACATAAAGGTATGTTAAATTCAGACTTTTCAGGCTGAACATTTTTGTGGAAGAGTCTTTCAGGATGATTCGACACGTAAAATCAAAAGAAAAATAACGACAATTGACTGCGAACTAACGTACTTGCGATGGTCGTGTATCTCGTGCAGTGGGCGTGGTTTAAACTGAAGTGGCGTCACACTTACGAACCGAATACCCTATGTACTGTGTGGACTCTGCGGGCGCGTGACGAAGTTCAACACAGAGAGCCTCGGTTTCGATGCAGATGTGCGTAGACGGCGCTAATGTGAAATCCCTCTGTTGGCCATTAAATTTGGATTCAAACCGAACCTACATGTACATATACTTGTATTGTTGATTCTGACCATGGAATTTTATGATTGCTCTTAATCTACTTTGGGGCTATCTGCTCCGAGCGGAATAAAAGAGGGCGTGTTTTTTGGTACTCACCACAAAGGCATGCCATGAGGCGCGCAAGTATATGCCCATTTGATGCGGAGCTCACTGAGTACGCATAACTATAATTTACTCTGGCATGTACGGTCTTGCAAAAACACGCAGAATATGTGCAAGAACCCACTGGTAACCACCTGTCTTTCCATTCACCGATTGGGGGTGCACTTCAGCTCGGGGCAGATAATTGCCAGCCTTTGGATTATTGAAGCCAGCAGGTTTCAGTCATGTAAGACAAACTTTGGACTAATGCAACTTTGGACAAATTAACAAACCTTTTGACTACATCAAAAGTCCTCTTTAGAGTACATGTAAAGTAGTACACGTACATTTATGTACTGAGTTGTAACCGAAAAACAGGCAACTGATGAGTGCTGCTGGGTCAATGTTTTCGGTAATTGACCCTGGAGGTCTTGGTCCGTTTGAAGCTCGCGCAGAATTCCAGGTGGAAACAGGCTGTGCGCATCAGCAGTTTGCAATCAGGAATTTAGAAATTAATAGCCCACAGGATCAGCTCAAAGCTACTGACCCAAACGGTTGTCAGATCGCCACATTTTACTTGCCATGCATACTTGTACATAGTGCAAGTTTTTAGAGACAATGCAGACATTTGAAACAGTAAGTACAGGTACGTTACATGTTAAGCTGGACATCACTAAAGCTGCGCTGTGCTTTAATTACCAGTAAAAAGCCGTTCCCCTCATGGTGATTTGGTACAGAGGCCGTGGGAGGACTCCCAACTTGTGCTAGTGGCTGGGTCTACACGATAATTACAGGTTTCAGATTAATCACTGTACATACATGTACATGTAAATGCATTATGCACCAATACCACTTACACTGACTTACCTGCAGTGGCGTAGCACCAGGGGGGAGGGACAGGGGCA